TGACACCAAAGTCTTATAGCAATTCCTAGGTGCTAATTTGGAAAACTGAGCAAACATCCTGGCTCTGAACCTTCTGTACTTGACATTCCACTCTCTGAATCCCACCTTGAAGGAAACAAAAAGACCACTTTTCCCAAAATTTATTTTGTGCACAGACTTTGTTTTCATTGTACATGTGTCATTTAGGTTAAGCTTTAAGGAAAAATTGCAAGAATGTGGCTGGGAATTATCAGTTTATCATGGATTTTAAAAATTTTTGATGTACACACCTATATTGCCAGTTATTAAAACCTCTATTTTTAAATAATGACATGAAAATCCTTTTTTTTTAAATAGAAATTCTGTGCAATATCCAAATATATTGGACATCAAAGAAGGGTCAGTAGTTTGAAGGTGGCACCGAGAGTGTGCACCTGGGCTGATCCTCCACAGTCAGGAGATGGGCCTGACACCTCACCTTTCCTATGGGGTATCAAGGGACAGCAAATCCTCAGTGATGTCAAGAAATTTCCTTGTCCTGCTGAAACTATCAGAGCTGAGACTTAGGGACTGTTAAAGCCCACGACCTGGAACATCTAGTCCAGAACAGAGTGGCTTCACACACACCACTGGCCTCCTGGCCAGCCCACAACACTTACCCCACAGAAATGGTGCTGGTCCTGGAAGCATTGGGATGGCTGGAAGAAATCACTTGAGGACAGAAGAGTGCTGGCTTGTCCCAATCTGGCTTCATTATATGGAGCTCCAATGGGAAGTGTCCCCTTCTTGATAGTAGTGAACTACCAGTCACACACCAAAACAGGTACCTCCCTGTACTCCATGAGGGGAAGGGGAGAATATATATATGCTGACTTTTTCTTTTCTATTTCGCGGTGCTGGGGATGGAACCCAGGACCTGGTGCATGCTAGGCAAGCACTCTATCCCTTAGTCACATCCAGAGACACTTAAAATGCTGTAAGGAACATTTAAAATGGAACAAGAGCCCAGTATGGTAGCATATGCTTATAATCCCAACGACTCATGAGGCTGAGGCAGGAGGATCACCCAGTTCTAACTTGCAACAACTTAGCAAGGTCTTGTCCCAAAACAAAAAAATAAAATTAAAATATTAAAAAAAATTTTAAATGGGGGGGACTGGGATTGGGGAGGTAACTCAGTGGTGTAGTGTTCCTGGGTTGAATCCCCAGTACCAAAAGTAAATAAAACATTAACAAGAAACCTGAAAGCAGAGTCCTGATCACGTCCTATCTCCCTCTATCGATCTTTAGCATAAAACCAGGTGGTATTAGATATGTCACTCAAGGGCTGTTACACAAGGAGGCCCCTCGGCCTGAGACCATGTACCATCTCCACTGAGAGCCCATGTGCAAGGAAGGCTCACCAATCAGACGAAGCAGCATGCACAGCAAGGGCACTGAGCTCAGTCAGATGCGGTCATCTGTCTCGGGTAGAGATGCACATTCCAGGCTTTCGAAATGAATGATACACAGAAGCAAGAGGAAGCAGAGGCTACTGTCCAATTTGAGTTTCAAGTAGTAATCTTCAAGGTCACAAACACTTCCCTCTTCATGGCTTCAAAAAGCACACGGTCTTGAGGGCCTACTCCTCCTCCGGCAGGCCAATGGTTTGGTCCAGTGAGGTCCCACCAGACAAGCAGCTGTTCAGTACATGCCCCTCTACAAAAAGCTGGCTTTTACTTTCTCAGGGGCAAAAGGGATATCAAATTGATGGTATCATGCCAGGCCAGAAAGACATTCCGAATCATATGGTTTCCTTGTCCTTTCTACCTTTAAATAATACTCGGTCTTTAATCTCAGCACATTCAACTTACTGTAGCCAGGTATCAACTTCACAGCCCACACTCTCTCCCGTACATCTCAACAGCTCCTCTGGGGCAAAGATGAAACAGGTGGCAGCAGCCATTCCGACTTCCCAGCGCTATGAACACCTTGGCTTGGCATGTGAACAGTCACTGAGTATTTACTAGGTGACAAGCACCAACAACCTGATTAAGGATGAAGTGAGTCTCCCTGTTCAGACAGCATGACTGCAGAGGTACTGTGCCCAAGCCAACAGAGCCAACACATAGCACAGCCTGTAACAACCCACCACACCATTTTGCTTCCCAGACAAGACGCAATTTGGCAATGTGCCAACGCCACCTGGACTTATAATGCATTCTAAGCTCCTGCACACAAATAAGCATGGTCACTAGAGTAATTTACCAGCACTGCAAAACAACTAGAACTAACCTTGGAGGTGTTCCACTTTGTGTAAAATTTATTTTCTCCAATTCACAGGGGGAGAAAAAAGTAACTGGAGCTATCCTTAAGCTTTATTTCCACCTTTGCTTATTTACAGGCCAAGCCTGTTTCTGAGAAGCTCAAAATCAGGCACTTTGGAGTCCTGTGGAGAAGTCTGGGGACCTTAACTGAGAGGCCAACCCTGACCCACATCCACTCAGGCTCACTTAGCTGCAGCCCACCTGGCACCTACCTCATGTCACAGCAAGGTCAGAACTGGTCACCTGCCTGCAGACCACCAACCACTCAGATTAACTTGGCAACCTCCATTGCGGAGGCAGTCAGGATGAGCAACTGCAGAGGTCAGTCACCATTTATGGCTTTCGCTCACAGGAGAAAGCACTCTTCTCTCTCACAAGGTTTCTGACTTCAGTCCATGGGTTTGGAAAAGTTCATCAGGTCACAGAGTCCAAAGACCAGTGAAGCAGGCAAGTCACACTAACCTCACCAAGGAGCGGCACATGAGCCTGACCTTCCGGCACCAGCAGGCAGAGCAGAAGATGACTGAGACCACAAATGCAGGTTGTATAGGTTTATTTTTCCAATACCACAAGAGACATACAAGAGCAGTGCTTTTCACTGGGCAGCCCCGTGGACCAGATCAGTATTAAACTGTACCTCTGAGTGGCCCCAAAGGTCCAAGAAGGAAAAAGACAGCTAGACACACTTGGGCCCCTGCTCCCGGTCTTTGGTAAACAATTTCTTGAGATGACAACTTGGACTTGACCAATACTGTATTTAAATCACATCATTGCCAACTTCTCACTCATGCTTCAGATGACAAAAATGCCACCTCAGATTAAATGGGGAGGAGGGGAGGATAAAACCCTTTTAGGTGAGATGAGCCTCGCCCAAGACACACAAATTTTATATTTCACACAGAGGCACTCGCACAGGGAGACACACCCACTAGAGAGGCAGACTCTGAACTCTGCAGCAAGTCAAGATACAAGAAAAAGGTGGAACAGGATGAGGGAAGACTAATGCAGTAGCATCTCCTCGCTGGAGACGTGTCGGGAGAGGCCGGCAGTAGGCATGGCTTTGTTTCTTCCAAACCTGCTGTCAAAAAGTTAAGTCAAAAGGAGACCGGTGGTCCCAGGTATTGCTGTGACAGGTGGTGACCCTGGAGCCAGATCCACAAGGCCTCCTGGGGGCTGCCCAGGGAACTCACCCATGAATCCAGAAGCACTTAACACTGGTGATAGTGATTTGTCACTTATGGCAGCGGATAGCCATCAAGGGCCGGAGGAGAAGAGATGTGGGGAGCTGATGCGTCTGCTCAGTGGTGTGCAAGCAGGCTGGCCCTGGCTCTGCAGGCTGTGGAGAACCCCAGTGACAAGTAACAAGTCACCGGGCCAACCCGACAAATCACATGTCAGTCACTTCCCCCTCATGCCAGGTAGCACAGCCCCCAGTGGCTTTAACAATCGAGGTGGAGAAGCAAATGACTCTGCTTTAATGCAATGATGCTGAAGATGTAAAATAGGAAAGAGACGTTGTGTTCTCTGTACAATACATCCATTTACAGAGTTGGCCAGTACTGTGTATAACATATAAATACAGGGTAAAACATCAGAGGTGCATAGAGCATACTTACAGAAGCCAAAGGTTCACTTTATACATCCAAGAATAAAGAGTTAAAAATATAAAAATAAGAAACACACACTGCTTAGAAATGTAAAATGACTTTCACATACACAGGTGTGTGGAAATGCCCACTCCCAGAGTCCAAGGTGACACAGCAGGTGGCAAGCAGAGCAGCCACTTGTAGTCATCCTCAGAGCTGACTCACAGGGTCGACAGATGGCATTTTCATAGGAGACATCCTACCCCCCAATCCCACTGTCTAAGCAGGTCTGTGCAAGCTTTCAAAAAATCCGGTGGGCTTGTGGATCATACAGAGACAGGGAAGTTCTG